CCCCCGAGAGTGGTGTAGACTTTTTTTAATGGTTGTATATTTGTATTGATGTTTTTAATCGTATTTTTATATTTAGTAATTATTTTTGTAACGATAATTAATCTATAATTATTTGGCGAATCAATGCAAATGTTTTCACTTTATTTGTATGAAAACCGCTTAAAATATGCCACTAATTAGCACCACATTTGACACCCGAGAGAGTGATTAAAATTGAAATTTACTGTAAAATAGTATTAAATTTATACAACAAATAAAAAATCTACAGATAAAAATTGAACATTGTTGCTAAATAATTACATTTGCCACTAAATGGTCAAGGTAAACTACCATTCACACCCGGGTAATTGTAGGGGTAATGCTTACGCCGGGGTGTAGCAAATAGTGTTTGAACTGTGTTTAAAGTTACACAACAAATAAAATACAACATAAAACTTATCCTATGTTATGAGACAAATAAATTTTTTCATTAAATAACCCTGCTAAACCCCAATTGAACATTATAATTACAATGGCATGAATTGCAAATCATTTCGGGGGCGGAAACCAGGGGGTCGCGCGTCCGACAACTACCGGCAAACACCTCTCGCGTAACGTAATCCGTGAACAGCGCGCCTCCGCTAATAGCTTGGCGCCGGCGCACTGCACACACTCTGTGACGTGTTTATGGCTTTCAGAGACAAACGTAATGTCGGAGTCCTATGGCATTCACATCGCATTCATTGTGTGCGTTAAGGGACTCAACACTGAAGTGAACGCATTATTACAGCCATAGTGTGAGCGAACAGACCGTCGACTCATACATACAGAGCATAGCATTGCCTATCAATACACACCACGAAGTGAAGCTATCATCGCGTAATACCGGAGCTCAACACCACATACCTGTGCCCCTCGTATACACACTAAACACACCACTCACTCATTGGTCTGCGATGGCATTGAAGAGGATCAAGAAGGAGTTGGAGGACCTTAAGAGGGACCCCCCGGCCCAGTGCTCGGCCGGTCCGGTGGGCGACGACCTGTTCCACTGGCAGGCGACCATTATGGGCCCCCCCGACTCGCCCTACCAAGGGGGTGTCTTCTTTCTCACCATCCACTTCCCCACCGACTACCCCTTCAAGCCGCCCAAAGTGGCCTTCACTACACGCATATACCACCCAAACATCAACAGCAACGGCAGTATATGTTTGGATATCCTGCGGAGTCAGTGGTCGCCGGCGCTCACGATCAGCAAAGTCTTGCTGTCCATCTGTTCACTGCTCTGCGATCCTAATCCGGACGACCCGCTCGTGCCAGAGATCGCCCGCATCTATAAGACGGACCGCGAGAAGTATAACGAGTTGGCGAGAGAGTGGACCCGCAAGTACGCCATGTGATCGTCGGAGGGTAGGGGCGGGTGTTGGTGGCGATGGTGTATACACCACCTGTCCTGATGGTGTGTATGTGTTTTTGTGTGGCCAACACCTGATTGTCCCGTAGGTGTGGGTGTGGTGTGGAGTTTGTGTGTGTCTGTAGAGGTTGTGTTGTATGTGTGGTTTTGATGGGAGAGAGACCTGTTGTCTTAGGATTTTTGTTGATAGCCCTGACCTGTGTTTTTATTATTACATACCGTTCCCCCATATCCCTGTCCACTGTCTGTCCCATTGTTTTATACGACTCTCCCGTCTCGACCGATGCATACAATACGGTGTCTCCACTCACACACGCCGTCCACTCA